TGCCCCACCCCGTCACATAATTGTTTTGCTTCTCAAACCCCTTCAAAGAATGATTGCCTTTACTTTCTCAGTTTCCATTCATTCCTCAGTCCATTATGATTTATGTTCTGACTTCCCACCTCACTGTTTTATTTTTGTAAAGACCTTTGTGAACTGGTCATTGTCAAATTCAAAGGCTCCTCAGCTCTCATCTTGCCTAACTGTTGATGACACCTTGTTGAAATGTGCTCCTCCTTTGGCTTCTCTGATATACCTGGGTTTTTTTGTTTGTTTATTTTTCCCTCTCCCCTATTCTTCTGTTAATCTCTTTTGCTGGTTTTTCTTCCATAGCTGCTGCTTCAGCTTAGGGATTTTTCACAGTTCTCTCTTGGTCTTCTCACTCCATATTCTTTCCTTCCATAGCTCTCTATTGCATTAATGACCAATAAATTCATACTGTTCCTACTTTCTGTCTGTACTTTCTCCCTGGAATTCCATCCATTTCCATAGTTGTATAAACTAGTGACTTCTCCCAACTCTCTTCTGAGTTTGAAATTTTTATTAGAAACTCCTTTGGACTTTTCTACCTGGATTCAGGTACTTCAGATTTGCTCATATCCCAAACTAAAGTACCTCTCCTCTTCTCCAGCCTGCTCATCTTCTTGTGTTACTTATTTCATCTTACAACCATCTACCTTGTCCCTTTGCTCTTGCTCTGGATCCTTCATCTGACTCGTCATCATCTGACCAGATGTCTTAGGCTGGGTTCTGTAGAGAAGCAAAGCCAGTGAAGCATATACATATATATATATAGAGAGAGAGAGAGAGAGAGAAAGATTTATCTCAAGGAAATGACTCATGCAGTTGTAGAGCCTGGCAAGTCAAGTGTCAGGGTGGAGGCTTCTCCTGACTCACGTAACTACCAGAGATAATGAACCCAGGATCAGCAGGTCAGATGGCAGGCTATTGGCTCATGGTCTGTCGGGACTGAGGAGTACAAGATGAACAGGTAAGACTGCTGGCTCACAGATTACGGAGGCTAATGAATCCCAAGATTGACAGGCAGTATAGCACACAGCTGGCTCAAGTCCCAAGAACTGGGGGTCAGATGATGACAAGCCAGATGCAGGGTCCAGAGCAAGCTAGCGAGCTTTGCCAGAACATCCATATGTATATATTGGATGCAGGCCACACCCCTGAGGAAGCTCCCCTTACAACTGATTGGCTTATCACATCAGATCACATCATGAAGGATGACTACATCATTACAAAACTGCCAGACCACTGAGAATCATGGCCCAGCCAAGTTGACACACAACCTTAAGCCATCACAGTGTACCCCTTGTCAACTTGGCACCTGTACACATCTCCTTTTTTTTTAATTTTATTTTATTGTTGTGCTTTAAATGAAAGTTTATAATTCAGGTTAGTTTCTCATACAAAAATTTATACATACATTGTTATGTGACCCTAATTGCTCTCCCTATACTGTAATAGCACACTCCTCCTTTCCACCCCTGATTTCCTGTGTCCATTCAAACAGCTCCTGACCCTCTCTGCCTTCTCATCTCACCTCTGGACAGGAGCTGCCCGATTAGTCCGATGTATCTGCTTGAGCTGAGAAGCACACTCTTCACGAGTATCATTTTATATCCCATAGTCCATCTTTGACTGAAGAGTTGGCCTTGGGAATGGTTTTAGTGCTGGGTTGACAGAGAGCCCGGGGGCCACGCTCTCTGGGGTTCCTCCAGTCTCGGTCAGACCATTAAGTCTGGTCTTTTCACTAGAATTTGAGTTCTGCACCCCACTTTTCTCCTGCTCCCACAGGGACTATCTGTTGGTACACATCTCTTTAAACCATATTCAGTCTCTAAATAAAGATAGATACAAAGTCATACTTGTGCCTCACATGATAAAACTAACATGTATACAACCAAAAACGCACTAGCTCTGTTTACATCTTATATTTTGTAAGTGGAAAAAGCAAAAATACTTGATGCACACATACAAGGAAGAAATGCTCATTACAGTTAGAGTCTTTGTTACTGCAGCTGGTCACATGGTTGTAACTGCTTCTTCCACCACCCATACCATATTCCCTTTACTCTCAGCAAGCACCTCAGCTGGTCATGGTTCTTTGCCTGGTGGGGTGACCCAAACCTTCATTTCTGAAGGGTCTGGGCCATCAGTAGTCATGTCAGAAATGGGTTGCTGTAGCTTTCCGTTGACTTTAATCACAGGGCAGGGTAGTACTAAGAGACACCCTAAGGGATCTCCTGCATTCCAGACATACTCTTCTTTAACTCCATTGTGTAATATCAATCCAGTTTCCTCTTGGTAATCAGGATCAGTCACACCAGCCAGTATGGTAACTCCCTTCTTTGCCTGTGGTCCAGAGACATGAGGAACCCAACGTGGAGGGGTGGCATTTTTAACTTCCAGTTCAGTGGAATCTATGTTGTGTTTCCAGGTGGGAGATTTCCTCCCTTTGGAACTAAGACCTCTAGGCCTGCAGAGCATAGCGTCTCAGGGATAGGAAGCAAAAATGTTGCAGAGTAGATAGTATGAGGGTTAATAGTGAGTGGTGCCACTCCCATCTCTACCCCTTGATTCCTGGAACCGTGAATCATGGCTATGAGAGAAACAGCACCATATATTGGATGCCAGTTTAGAGCATATACAGCCTCCTGGAGAACATTACCCCAACCCTGCAAAGTGTTGCCACCCAACTGGTACCGTAATTATGTCTTTAGAAGGCCATTCCATCGGTCTATCAAGCAGCTGCTTCAGGATGATGGGGAACATGGTAAGACCAGTGAATTCCATGAGCATGGACCCATTGGCACACTTCATTTGCTGTGAAGTCAGTCCCTTGATCCAGGGCGATGCTGTGTGGGATACCATGACAATGGATATGGCATTCTGTAAGTCCATGGATGGTAGTTTTGGAAGAGGCATTGGGTGCAGGGAAGGCAAATCTGTATCCAGAGTGTCTGTCCCAGTGAGAACAAGCAGTAAGAGTCATCCTTGACTCCTTCCTGACTGCTTACATGTCATTTGCCACAAAGCCCTGTCAGTTCCACCTCTCAAATATCTTTCTCATACATTTAATATTTTTCATCACCATTCTTTCAAGTGTCTTAAAAGTGAAACAATCTGATTGTGTCACTTCCTCAACCTTAACAGTTTTTATTGCTTTCTCTTGCCTAGAGGATAAAGTCTAAAGTCTTGGCATGGCAGACAAGGCTCTTTACAACTAATTCCAAACCTTCTTCCTTGCTACCATCCCTGGCAAACCCTGTTCTCCAGCCACCTCAGAAGTAGTTTTCTAAATGGGCCTTGCTCTTCTCTTTTACACCTCTGTGCCTCTGTTCATGTTGCTGTTTCTGCATGGAGCCCATTCACCCTCCGTTCAGTCTTGTAGGTCCTGCTCAAGAGTCATTATCTTTTATGCTGCCTTTCTTGACCACACAAAATTAATCACTTCCTGTAGCACTTTATTCATATCTCTAATATGATATTTATCATATATTAAAGCTAACTTACGAACTTTTTAAGGACAGGGTCTGTCTAGATCTTACTCATTTCAGTATTCTAGATCTTAGAAATTTCTGCAGAGTACCTAGAATATAGTAGAGTTTTGATAATTACTTGTGGGATGAGTAAATTGAAAATAAAATGAAAGAGAACTCTCAGCCCCCAGGGAGTCTACACTACAGAGCTCCCACGTTGTTTTGTGAACAGCACATTTAAAAACTTGATTTCTGGAGTCAGGCAGACTTGGATTCAAACCCTGTCTGAAACACTTACTAGCCGTGGCTGTTTCCTCATCTGTGAAATGATGCTAATGTTGTGGCTGTGAGAATTAATGTAAAACACATATCACAGTCCCTGATACATTGCAGTCATCCCTATTAAATGTATTATGTATTTATAAGTAATAGTAATAATAATCTAAGTAATACTTATACTCTAGTCAAAGATGAGGCATGGGAGCGGAGTGTTCTCCATTGACCTTCCTAATGAAAGAAGAGAAGAGAATTCTGTCTCAACCAGGTTAATTACATCTAACAGTGACTGTCATCTACTTTCATCTCCATTTACTTAAAGAGAGGAGAAGGAGGTGTGACTGTTACTGTTTTTTTTCCTGTTGTCTATTATTTTTATTGTTGTTATTGCTCTTATTACCCATTTTACCCTTTATAAAAACTGAGTTTTAAGATATGAGTACTAATACCAAAAAAGAGGCTGAACTTGAAATTTAGGAGAAGATAAAACCAAGATAAAGTAACAAAACGGTGTTTGGATTACGGGTCTGAGGAAAGTAGAATTTAAGAAAGGTTCAGATTTCTTCATTCAGTAATTCGTCAACTATTTGTGGTTCCCTTACTCTGTGCTGGGCATAGTAGGGGCTGGGTAGTGATATGGGCCATCAGAATTGCTGAAGGCATAGTTTCTCTCTGCGAGAATTTTTTCTTTTTTTTATTGAAAAATAATTTTGAAGTAAATGTAAATTCATATGCAATTGTAAGAAATAATACGGAGAGAGCCCTAGTACATCACTGCAAGGATTTTAAAGTGTTATTAATGATGAAGGTAAGACAGTTCCTTGTTTAACTGGTGTGAGACTGCAGGTAGATAGCACTTTATGAATTTTAAAAAGATGAGATTACTCTGCTTGCAGTTGCAGCAAGTAAAGAAGGTTTTGTGAGGAGTCAGTATTTAAGGCAAGCATCAAAGGATGAGTGGAATTGTATTAGGTTGAGAAAGTGAGGTAAGCTAAGACCCAGGTGAAAAGGAGGACATGAGTGCCTCCACAGAATAAATGGGAACCATCTGGACTTTTAAACTGCACGCTTCCTTTAAGTGGGTTCTTTGTTGCCTCAAGGTTTTAGAACTCAAGTATTGATGGGCCTGTTGTTAATCCCAGGTCTAATTGTTACATTTTCTGTTTTTGATATAGAATACCCTAATTCTCCTGAGAGTCTGACTTACTGAAAAAGTGTTTCTTGTGTTTTTAGAATGACAGTAGAGAACGGCAGCGTCATGAGCACATTGAAAGGAGACGGCATGGCAACCCTGAGCCATTATCTAATGGACGACCCCAGGGTAACACACAGCAGGTGGTGGAACAAGATGAAGAAGAAGATGAGGAGCTGACATTGAAATATGGTGCCAAACATGTGATCATGCTGTTTGTTCCAGTGACTCTCTGCATGGTGGTAGTTGTGGCTACCATCAAATCAGTCAGCTTTTATACCCGCAAGGATGGGCAGCTGTATGTATGAGCATTTTGTTTTATTATTCTTAAGGCCAGTGTGGTTTTCTTCAAAGCATGTCACCATCACCTTGAAGGCCTCTGCACTGAAGGGACATGAAAGCTCTAGAGTCTGTCATCTCTGATGGCCAGAAGCAGTTGAGAGAGCGAGGAATTATTTTTTACTTGATGTCTTGAGGGGAGATAATGAAGGGTGCAGTTATTTTTATTTTTTTTTATTGTACTTTAGATGAAGGTTTACAGAACAAGTAGTTTCTCATTAAACAGTTAGTACACATATTATTTCATGACATTGATTAACAACCCCATGACATGTCAACACTCTCCCTTCTCGACCTTGGGTTCCCTATTACCAGCTTTCCTGTCCCCTCCTGCCTTCTAGTCCTTGTCCCTGGACTGTTGTGCCCCATTAGTCTCGTTTTGTTTTATGGGACTGTCTAATCTTTGGCTGAACAGTGAACCTTGGGAGTAACTTCATTACTGAGCTGAAAGGGTATCCGGGGGCCATACTCTCGGGGTTTCTCCAGTCTGTCAGGCCGGTAAGTCTGGTTTTTTTTTGTGTGTGTTAGAATTTTGTTCTACGTTTTTCTCCAGCTCTGTCTGGGACCCTCTGTTGTGATCCCGGTCAGAGCAGTCAGTGGTGGTAGCCGGACACCATCTAGTTGTTCTGGACTCAGTCTGGTGGAGGCCGTGGTGGTTGTGGTCCATTAGTCCTTCGGACTAATCTTTCCCTTGTTTTCTTCATTCTTCCTTGCTCCTGAAGGGTTAATGCACAGTTATTTTTCCTGTATGGTATCACTAGATAGACCTAGGTTTATTTGGAATTGAGCAGGTAAAGAATTGAGTAGTGATCTTTTCTACCTCAGTGCCATTGGGCTCATTGTTCTGCTTAGAATGTTCTTTCCTTTTGTAACTCTTTGCTGGATTAATTCCTGTGATATTCCCATTTTGGCTTAAATGTTAGGTCCTCAAAGATAACTTTCCTGATCTTCCTAATTGAATTAGGTCCTTCCTGGTATTTTTTCTTATAGCAACCTACTCTTTTTCACTTGTCACAATTTGCAGATAACATTTATTTACATTATTTAATGCCTGGTTTCCTTCTGTACTGTAAGTTTTGTTAGGGCACTTTATCTCCAGAGCCAGGCATATCATAAATGCTTGGTTAAAAAGTTGTTAAATGAAAGGAGAAATAATTAATGCAAGCTGGCACTCTGAACTCCTAGAGGGCTGTTGTGTACATTCCCTGGTACCACCAGTGTCAACCTTTTGTCTGTAAGAAAAATGCTTTGATTCAGATGTCATCTGGTTCTGTCTCTAGAACTCTCATGGGCCTCAAAGAAGAGTTTGAAGTGAGATTTAGAATTTGAAATTGGGAAGTGTCCAAAAAACTGTGTGGTATTCTGAAAGCTAAGCTTTTAAACTTTTGGGAGAAGGACTGAGGCAATGATTGAAGGACAGGGGTTAGAGACAGTCACCAAAAGGGAATATTATCTGTATAAGTCAGGGCTAGATTTGGCTACACATTATAGAACAGGGATTGGCAAGCTATAGCTTGCCGGCCAAATCCGGCACACAACCTGTTTTTGTAAATAAAGCTTTATTTGAACACAATCATGCCAGTTCATTTATGTATTACCTATGACTGCTTTCATACTACAGTGACAGTACAGTAGCCCGAACAGAGACTGTGTGGTACAGTAGCTGCAACAGAGACTATGTGGCTCACAAAGCTTCAAGTATTTACTCTCTGGCCCTTTACAGAAAAAGTTACAGAAGATCAAAATAACCGATTTAAATGATACATACATTTTATGTCTCACCTACAGAGAAGTGCGGAGGTAGGCAGTCCAGATTGGTATGGCAGCTTCATAGTTCTCAAGGCCCAGGCTCCTTCTTTCTTTCTTCTTTGGCTTCTATCCTGTAGATTACCTCAGGGTCAGGTGTGGCTGCTGGAACCTAGCCTTTATTCCAAACAGCAGGAAGGGGAAAAGAGTTGGGGAGAGAAGGACATAGGACATGCCTCTCAGCAGAATCAACTCCTTTACTAGAAGTTCCTCACAACATATCTTCTTATATCTCATTGACCTGTACTTAGTCTCATGGTCTCTAACTATAAGAGAGTCAGAAATGAAGTCTTAGGCTTGGGACCATAGTCTCGTGGGACAGCTCAGTCAATTGGCATAACATAGTTCGTAAAGATAATGTTCTGCATCCTACTTTGGTGAGTAACATGTGTGGTCTTAAAAGCTTGTGAGTGGCCATCTGAGGTACAACTATTGGTCTCTCCTTGTCTGGAGCCAGAGAGAATGAAGGAAACCAGAGACTTTAGTCCACAGGACTAATAAGCCCACACAAACCACTATCTCTTCTAGCCTGAGACCAGAAGAACTAGGTGGTGCCTGGCTACCTCTGACCAGTGACACAATAGAAGGAATAGAATGGGAGAAAAATGCAGAACAAAATTCATGTTCCTAAAAAAGACTAGACTTACTGGACTGATAGAGACTAGAGGAAGCCCCGGACTAAGATACGCTTTGCACTTAGAACTGAAGCCACTCCCAGAGGTCACCTTTCAGCCAAATAATAGATTGGTTTATAAAATAAGCATTATCACCTGTGAGGAATGTGCTCCTTTAAACAATCCATTATATGAGACCAAATGGTCAACATTTACCCTAAAGCAAAGATGAAAAGGCAAGGAGGGGCAGGGAAGCTAGATAAATAAAAATTGTTAAATGGGAACCTAATTTACTATGTAAACTTTTACCTAAAACAATAAATTATTTAAAAAAAAAGAAAAAGAAATGAAGTATTTTAGCTGATAACACTGACACCTGGAATGAAAGTGTTTTTAAATGAATAAGAAACAAGGGAAAGATGGACATGGGGCATCATCTCAAGACAACTCCATTTGCAGTCGCCCTACAGATGAAGGACAATAATTATAAGCCATATTATCTTCCTCTGACAACAACTTGTAGCCTAGGTAGTTTATGTGGCAGAATGTGGTTCTTCAACAAATTACCAGTAAGCTGTGGAGAGAGAACATTCGATGAGGTAATTATTTCAATATAAAGCATCCACTAGATGGAGCCAGTGTCTGGCTCACGTGTAAGTCCACTTCTCAGTATTTTAGATAGTTCCTTGTATTTTGAAACAACTATTTTAGAGTATAGCTGTTTTTTTTTAAGTTAAAAATTCTTGACTAGAAAAAAGTGACTTACAAGATATTAGTTGAATCAAGGAAAAACAGAACTCTGGTGTTGGAAGGGAGTATGTGGTTTGGAATATGCATTTAACACTTACCTGAGGCTTTATGTTTTGTTTCATTATAGAATCTATACTCCATTCACAGAAGACACCGAAACTGTGGGCCAAAGAGCCCTGCACTCGATTCTGAATGCCGCCATCATGATCAGTGTCATTGTTGTCATGACTATCCTCCTGGTGGTTCTGTACAAATACAGGTGCTATAAGGTGAGCGTGAGACACAAGAGAGCTTTGATTTCCACCCTGTTCATATTATGGTTGGGTTTTTCTGTTGCATAACTTATTTGGTCTAGTAAATAAAGAAGTCTTATATTCTAGAGCTAAGTTAATTTTTAGTTTTTTCCCCCATTATTGCGGATCATTTTGTATAAATGAAAACCAGGAATTTTCACATACCATCACAGTCTAAGCGGTTTTAACATTTTGGTTTGCGATACACTTATGACATTCCAGAGGAATATATCATAATCTTTTCATAGGATATAATTTTCCCCATAAAATGAGGTATAACTAAAAAAATCAGGATTTTCGTATTTGAGTACAGAACAATAAATCCACCTTCAGATGCTGGTGTTGAAATTGTTGGTGACTGGCCATCTTCCTATTTCTAAACTGGAAGCCATCTATTCCTTCACCGTCTCTCCTGCAACAGCAGTAATCTTTTCCTTTCTTGGAAAATTGGGACAGGGTACGTTGTATAGGGAAGACATAGACCTACCCACACTCCCAGACCCTCCTCCCCAGGTCGTTCTCTAGCTAAGTGACTCACTCCTGAATTTTAGTCATTCAGCTACCTGGCACATGTTTCAAACTTATGCCCCAGAAAAATTATAAATTAATTATAAGTCATGGACCTTTAGGGTCGTTCTTAAATTATAGAAATTTCACTTTCCAAATACTAGAGTCTACTCTATTTCCTTCTAGTATTTATTTCTGTATTTTTTTAACATAGTTAAAACATACGATCAGGGTGTTATCTTAACTTTTACTTTGGCATAAGCATTTTTCCATGTTATAAATTCTTAGGAAATATTTCTAGAGGCTACATGATACTTGACTCAATGGGTGTATTGTGATTTATTTCCCCTAATGTTCCACATTTAAGTTGTTTCCAGCTTTTCACTATTATAAAAAACAATGAATGTCTTTATGCATAGAGCTTTTTTAATTTTTCAAATTATTTCCTTAGGGTAAAATCCTAGACATGGAATTCCTGGGGCAAATTATTGACATGTTTTTAACTCTTGATATGCAAAATTCCTTTTTCAAAAAGGTTGTATCAATTTATATTTAACACCAATAGTGAATGAGAGTATCTGTCTTACCCGTCTGCAGCAGCAATGAAAAATTTTTTAATCTGTGCTAATTTTTGTAGGCAAAACAGAATGTGTAAAGTTGCATTTAGTTGATTACTAGTAAAATTGAATATCTTTTCATTGCTGACAAGCTCTAAAATTACAGAGTTTAACCTTGCTATTTGTTGAACCTTGGAGTGGGTGGAGGTGTTAATCTAAGTGATGATCATCTGTAGTCTGGCATTAGTCAGCACATGGAGAACACGGAAGATGAAAGGTGTGTATGTTGACAGGTAGTCATCAACACTCAGAAAGCCAAAGAGCAAGTGAAGTGAACCCTGCTAGGAAGCTTTGCCCTCCCCCCATTTTAAATATGCCCGTGACTTATTTTTCTTTGTCCTTTTTTCTCACCATATATATTTTGTCTGCATGTGTTTACCTGCCAGTTCCATTTTTCCACTTTATTAGATCACTTTGTGACCTTTATCTAAATTATATACTACTTTGTTCTTCTGTTTCTTTTTTAGATTTTATTGAGGAGGTGGACTTTTGCTTTCCTTTTTTGTAATCTAGAATTTACTTCCAGATTTCTTGCTTTTTCTTTACAAAATGCCTGTGTAATTGGATGTTTGGAACTCTGGACTCGATTGTTACCTGAGTTCTGTTTCCTAGTGACCTTAGGAAATTATTTAATTTCTCTATGTTTCCATAAAAGAGAAAGCACCATCTTTTAAACTGCCTCTCCTTTTCTCTGCTTTGAAGCATGTATGGGTTTTCCCAATCTTGGGCGGTGACATGTAGAGGACAAACTTTGGAGCCAAACAGATCTATATTTACTTCCTGGATTGATCATTTTCTGGCTTGTGACACTGGCAGGTTACTTCTCTGTGCACATTGTTGTTGTTAGGTGCCATCCAGTCAGTTCCAACTCAGTGACCCTATGTACAACAGAACGAAACACTGCCCGTTCTGTGCCATCCTTACAATTGTTCCTATGTTTAAGCTCATTGTTGCAGCCACTGTGTCAGTCCATCTCGTCGAGGGTCTTCTTTTTTTTTTTGCTGACTGTAGTTTAAAGGCATCGATTCTTCTACAGTCTTTTATTCATTGTCCAGCTTTTGCATGTATATGAGGTGATTGAAAATATCATGGCTTGAGTCAGGCACACCTTAGTCCTCAAAGTGATGTCTCTGCTTTTCAATGCTTTAAAGAGGTCTTTTGCAGCAGATTTGCCCAATGCAATACGTCATTTGATTTCTTAACTACTGCTTCCGTAGTTGTTGATTGTGAATCTACATAAAATGAAATCCTTGACAACTTCAAACTTTCCTCCATTTATCATTGTCTTGGTTATCTAGTATTTGCTATTACACAAATACCACGAGTGGATGGCTTTAACAAACAAGTTTATTCTCTCACAGTCTAGTAGTCTAGAAGTCTGAATTCAGGGCACCCCACCCTCTCCAGGGGAAGGCTTTCTCTGTCAGCTCTGGAGGAAGGTCCTTGTCATCAGTCTTCCCTTGGTCTAGAAGCTTCTCTGTATAAGAACCCCGGGTCCAAAGGACGCATTCTGCTCCTGGCGCTGCTTTCTTGGTAGTATGAGTTCCCCCTGTCTCTCTGCTTCCTTCTCTCTTTTATATCTAAAAAGAGATTGATTTAAGACACAACCTAATCTTGTAGATTGAGTCCTGCCTTGTTAATATAATCCTGCCTCAGTAACATCATAGAGGTAGGATTTACAACACGTAGGAAAGTCACATCAGATGACAAAATGGTGGACAGTCACACAATACTGGGAATCATGGCCTAGCCAAGTTAACACACATTTTTGGGGGACACAGTTCAATCCATGACAATCGTGATGTTGCTTATTGGTCCATCTGTGAGGATATTTGTTTTCTTTATGTTGAGGTGTAATCCATACTGAAGGCTATAGTCTTTGATCTTCATCAGTAAGTGCTTCAAGTTCTCTTTGCTTTCAGCAAGCAAGGTTGTGTCATCTGCATATCTCAGGTTGTTAGTGAGTCTTCCTTCAATCCTGATGCCACGTTCTTCGTATAATCCAGCTTCTCGGATTATTTGCTTAGCATACAGATTGAATAAGTACAGTGAAAGGATACAACCCTGATGCTCATGTTTCCTGATTTTAAACAACACAGTATCCCCTTGTGTTCAAACAACTGCTTCTTGGTCTATGTACAGGTTCCGCATGAGCACAATTAAGTGTTCTGGAATTCCCACCGTTTCCAGTGTTATCCATAATTTGTTATGATGCACACAGTGGAATGCCTTTGCATAGTCAATAAAACACAGGTAAACATCAGTGCACATTAATGAGATAAAAAAAGGAACGATAATAGTTAAGTTCATTGTATCTTCCTTGTGAGGATTAAATGAAATAGTGTAATGTGGCTGGCACAGTGCCTGACACATAGTAGGTCTTCCCCAGATGCCTTTCTCCTTTCTCCTTCTCTCCCAACAAAAGCTATTACTTGACCCAGCTACTATCTTGTCTCTTTTCCCTCTTTAAATATAGACCCTGTACCAGCATCCCTCATTTCTTTGTTGATAATATTAACAATAATAGTAGTTGATTACGCTTACTTAGCACTTACTTTGCACCAGACACTGTTCTAAGCACTTTGCATGCCTTGTTTCATTTAATTGTCACACCAGCTCTATGAGGTAGGCCTTGCTATTATCCCACTTTTACAGATGGGGAACTGAGGCAGGGACCAAGTGGCGGGAGGACAGGGAGAGAAATAAATGGCTATCGGACCCACTCTCGGAGGACTACAGCTCCTCTATCAGAGAGGAAAGTTCTCCTCCCTCTGAATTTTAGGCTCCTGCTGCCCCCATTGTTGTCACCACAGGATCATTTGGGGACTGGGTGTGAGAGAATGGAGAAAAGAAAAAAAAGGAAAAATGGAATTTCCACACTCTCTCTGAGCATTAGGAGACCCCTTTCCTGTTCCTCAGGCCACAACTAGAGAGCTTTTCCTAGAACTCTCATTTCTCACTAATACCAGGTTTCAGGTTGTGTTGAGGTCAGGCTGGGGGATACTGGAGGAAAAAACATGGTAAACTCGCTGTAGGTTTGGTGGCACTTCTAATTCTGTTCTTCTTCCCTGGTCCATCGACCTGTATTTACTTTCAGAATCCGCAGCTAGCTGTTCCATGCATTCTCTCCCAGTTTTATAGTTGCATTTAGTGGGAGAGATAGGCTAGAATATGCTTATTCCGTCTTACCTGGAACTTGTCTTGATATATTTCTCATCACTTTGTGTACCTTTTAATTATGCTTTTTAGGACAGTGTAAAAAGTTCATATTCAAGCCAGAATTCCATACTTCCTTATTCAGTTGTTTTTAGTTTTTAATGTGCAAGTCTTAGCAAGCACAGCCAATCCTATAGGAACAAGTTGTTTATTTCGACTCTGAGTAGAAAATAAAAGGAATTCTTGAGTCAGAAGTTCAGAAACTTGCCAAGACCTGTTTGGAAGTAAGCACTGAGGATTTGTCATGTCAGTGGTTGGTTGTACAATGTCTATGGAAAGTATAAGAAGCTAAAAAACCAAACAGACCTAGAAGAAGGTAGAAACAGAAAAAGCAGTTAATGATTACATATCATTTATTATAGCTAGAAGTATAACTTTTTAAAGTCACATGATTTTTGGCCTGGATAGTTCAGGGTATGGAGGGGATACTGTATTCCTTGAAGCAGCAGCCCTTACTTTCAGAGCCTTTAGCACAGGAGAGCCGAACTAGAGATTTTCACAAAGTGAGAAAGTCCTGTTTTCTTAAAAAAAGAGGGACGTTATTTTGTCATCATCAGAAGAGGCTTCAAATTCATGCAGTAATTCAGAAGATTATAAGATAAATGACCAACCGAAATAGGAAAATACTTAAACCGTTGTTGCAGGCAAGGAGTTAATATTTTTACCGTATAAAGAGCATTTATAAATCCTTAAGAAAATTATGAACATCCTATAAGGAAAATGGTCAAAAGACCATAGAAATTATGCAGGAAATATACTTGGCCAATAAATAGACACATCAATAGACTGGTAGATAAATGTGTGTGTGTATTACCTCACTAGTTAAGAAAAAGATTCATATTAAAATAACAAATTAACATATTTGGCCCCTTGACTTCGTAAAAGATTAACCCAGCCTTTTTTTGTGAATTTACTAAGCCAGTAACCAAACCAAACCCGATGCCGTCAGTTTGATTCCGACTCATAGCGATCCTAAGCCAGTATGTGCAGGCATACGTCAAAGACATTGTGGGTTCAGTTCCAGACCACCGCAGTAAAGTGAGTTTCCCAGTGTATATAAAACTTATGTTTACACTATACTGTAGTCTGTCAAGTGTGCAGTAGCATTATGTCTTTAAAAAAATATACATACTTTAAAAAAAAACTTTATTGCTAAAAAATGCTAACCATCATCTGAGCCTTCAGTGAGTTGTAATCTTTTTGCTAGTGGAGGGTCTTGCATCCGATTTTGATGGCTGCTGATCAGGGTGGTGATTGTTGAAGGTTGGGGTGGCTGTGGCAGTTTCTTAAAATTTCTTAAAATAAGACAGCAATGAAGTTTTCTGCATTGATTGACTCTTCCATTCATAAAAGATTTCCCTGTAGCATGCGATGCTGTTTGATGGCGTTTTACCCACAATAGGACTTCTTTCAAAATTGGAGTCAGTCCTCTCAAACCCTACCGTTGCTTTATCAACTAAGTTTATGTGATATTCTAAATCCTTTGCTGTCATTTCAACAGTGTTCACAGCATCTTCATCAGGAGTAATTCCATCTCAAGAAACAGCTTTCTTTGCTCATCCGTAGGAAGCAACTCCTTATCCATTAAATTTTTATCATGAAATTGTAGCAATTCAGTCACATCTTCAGGCTCCACTTATAGTTCTCTTACTATTTCTAGCACATCTGCAGTTACTTCCTCCACTGAAGTCTTGAACTCTTCAAAGTCATCCATGAGGGTTGGAATCAAGTTCTTCTAAACTCCTGTTAATATTGATATTTTGACCACCTCCCATGAATCATGAATGTTCTTAATGGCATCTAGAATGGTGAATCCTTTCCAGAAGAGTTTCAATTTCCTTGGCCCAGATCCATCACAGGAATCACTATCTATGGCAGCTGTAGCCTTATGAAATGTATTTCTTAAATAATAAGATGTGAAAGTCAGAATTACTCCTTGTCCATGGGCTACAGAATGGTTGTTGTGTTAGCAGGCATGAAAACAACATTAATCTACTTGCATATCTCCATCAGAGCTCTTTGGTGACCAGGTACATTGTCAATGAGTAGTAATATTTTGAAAGGAATTTTTTTTTCCTAGCAGTAGGTCTCAACAGTGGGCTTAAAATATTCAGTAAATCATGTTGTAAACAGATGTGCTGTCATCCAGGCTTTATTGTTCCATTTAAACAGCACAGGCAGAGTAGATTTAGCGTAATTCTTAAGGGCCCTAGGATATTCAGAATGGTAAAGGAGCGTTGGCTTCAACTTAGTCACCAGCTGCATTAGCCCCTAACAAGAGTCAGCCTGTCCTTTGAAGCTTTGAAGCCTGGCATTGTCTTCTCTCTAGCTATGAAAGTCCTAGATGGCATCTTCTTCCAATATAAGGCTGTTTCATATACATTGAAAATCTGTTGTTTAGTGTACCCACCTTCATCAGTTATCTTAGCTAGATCTGGATAACTTGCTGCAGCTTCTACATCAGCACTTGCTGCTTCACCTTGTACTTTTGTGTTGTAGAGATGGCTTCTTTTTTTTAAACCTCATGAACCAACCTCTGCTAGCTTCAAACGTTTCTTCTGTAGCTTCCTCAACTCTCTCAGCCTTCATAGAATTGAGGAGAGTTAGGGCCTTGCTCTGGATTAAGCTTTGGCTTAAGGAAATCTTGTGGTTGGTTCCATCTTCTATCCAGACCACTAAAACTTTCTCTGTATCAGCAGTAGGGCTGTTGTTGCACTTTCTTATCATTTGTGTGTTCACTAGAGTAACACTTTTAATTTCCTTCAAGAACTTTTCCTTTGCATTCACAACTTGGCTAACTGGCACAGGAGGCCTAGCTTTCGGCCTGTCTCAGTTTTCCAGATGCCTTCCTCAGTAAGCTTAATCATTTCTAGCTTTTGATTTAGGGTGAGAGACGTGGGATTCGTCCTTTAGCTTGAAAACTTAGAGGTCATTGTAGGGTTATTAACTGACCTAGTTTCAATATTGTCATGTCCCAGGAATAGGGAGGCCAGAGGAGAGGGAGAGAGACGGGGGAACGTCTGGTAGGTGGAACAGTCAGAACATACACAACTTCATCGATTAAGTTCGCCATCATAGATGAGCGTGGTTATGCTGACCCGAAACAATTATAACAGTACGATCACTGATCACAGATGACCATATTTTTATATTACAAATAACTCAACACCAGAGAGTTCCATATAGGTATACACTGATTCCAAAGCCATTTTTTCTTCTGCCGTTTGAAAAGCATAACATTTACAGATACACTGTTTTTGAAGTGAGAAATTTTCGTTTTTTAAGGTTTGTGGAATCTGTTAATTATATTGGTACTCTTTTTTTTTTCCTCCCCCCAGGTTATCCATGCCTGGCTTATTATTTCATCTCTACTGTTGCTGTTCTTTTTCTCATTCATTTATTTGGGGTAAGTGGTGAAATATATGATCTGTATTTGAGAAATTAACTCTGTGTTGACCCTGTGACTGTCACTTAAAGCAGTTACTTTGTTAATAAATTACTGTTAAGTTAACTGTTTCCATCAAGTTATAACTATTTCCAAACATAGATTGTACTTGGTATTTAAGACAAATTAATATTGTAGTCCTTACATATAATAAGTGGAACTAAAAGAACTCAAGACTGCAGTTAATTTTAATCCTCGTTAAGATAAATGCTAATTGTAGCTATACATCAGGTTACAGAGATCAAATAATTTGATAATATCATAAGCTGGCAAGGGTGCAGGGAAAGAAACACTCACACATTTGTGCTTAACTTTTATCAAGAGTAATTTGGCATATTCATTAAGATTTTAAATGCATGTGTCCAGAGCCCAGTAATTTACAGGGATAATCATTGCAACATTGTTTTTAATAACAAAAGAATGGAATCAAGCTAAATGTCTATCAGTATAAAACTAGTTTATTAGAGAGAATCAGGTAGCTCTGATGTACTGATATGGAAAGTTCTCCATGAATATTGTTAAGAGAAAAAATCCTGGTTGTTGTTATTGTTAGATGCTGTCGAGTCGATTCCAAATCCTAGAGACCCCATGTGACAGAGTAGAACTGCTCCATAGGATTTTCTAGGCCATAATGTTTGTGGGAGCAGATTGCCAAGTCTGTCTCCTGCGAAGTTGCTGGGTGGGTTCGAACCGTTAGCAGTTGAGCATTTAACCATTTGCACCACCAGGGTACAGAACAGTATATATAATATACTATAATTTGTGTCTAATATATATATATATATATATACATACACATATGTATATATTATGTATGTAGACTATCTCTGGAAGGAGTCACATGAAATTAGTAATGGTAGTTTCCTCTAAAAACGGCAACTGTGGAACAGGATGAGGGAGGGAAACTTATTGAGTACTATCAATTCGGATATTGAAATGCTTGATACAAATAGCTAGATTGTCCAGAAATTTTAACATTTACTTTATTTTGGAATTTCAAAGGGAAGAGGGCTCATCTCTCTGTATAGTATCCATAACCCAAAGTTTGTTCTATATCGGGCTCTTGCTCTCTCCTCAGTTATGTAGGGCATCTTTTTGAGTT